GTCCCTGTGATGTTTAACAGTAGTTAAGGCTTCAATTAAGACCGGTGGTAGCTGTCTCTCCTGGAGTTTGCTTTCTTCTTCTTCTTTTTTTAATATTTATTTTTTAGTTGTAGTTGGCACAATACCTTTATTTTATTTATTTATTTTTATGTGGTGCTGAGGATTGAACCCAGGGCCTCACGTGCTCTACCGCTGAGCCACAAACCCCAACCCCAACCCCTGGAGGTTGCTTTCTTGACCAGGTCAATTTACTTGCCTTATAGCTGTAACTAAGTTGAACATACTCCATATCCCATGGTCTGTGTTGAAAAAAATTCATGTTAGTTAAATACATTAATATTTTGATATATTACTTCTTACTTGGTGATATACAGATACTCTGAACAATTTTTAGACAATGATTTCTGTTAAGTTCTGAAGATTTACAAATCATGAAATTTTAGTCTTGTTTTCAACAGTTACTTCAGAGTACTATTCAAAGCACTTTGCTACAGATAGTGAATAGTAAAATAATGAAAAGCTTATATAATATATGAAGAAAATTTAATATCAAATACACCCAATACAAATTTTGAATCTTATTAGCACTTTAACACAGTTTGTTCAGATAATTTAACCTTGAGACCTAATTCTTAATATCAATGACAAAAGAGAACTTTTTTTTTTGGGGGGGGGTACTAGGGATTGAACATGGGAGTGCTTAACTAGTGGGTTTGAATCCAGGAGTCCTTAACTGCAGAGCCACATCTCGAGCCCTTTTTATTTTTTATTTTGAGACAGGTTCTCACGAAGTTGTAAAGGGCCTCACTAAATTGCAAGGCTTGTTTTGAACTTGTGATCCTCCTGTCTCAATTTCCCCAGTTGCTGGGATTTCAGATGTGCATCACCATGCTCAGCAGGAACACTTTTATTTAGGAACCAAATACACTAAAACATAGGCATATGCAATAGAGTGTTAAAATGTTGAAGGTACTTTACATGTTTAATTTGATTCAAAATTGCTTTTGTGATTGGTTTCATTATGTAAAAGGATATTTAAAATTGACTTTTGCTTTAGTTTTCCTGGGCTGCCATAATAAAATGCCATATACAGTGTGGTTTAAACAACAGACATTTATTTTCTCCCAGTTCTGGAGACTGGAAGTCCAAGGTCAAGGTATCAGCTGGATTAGTTCTCCTGAGGCCTCTCTCCTTGGCAAACAGGTGACACCTTCTCAGTGAGTCCTCATGTGGTCTTCCTCTGAGGATGTGCATGTCTGTGCCCAAATTTCCTGTTCTGCTGAGAACACCAGTCATTTTGAAGTGGAGCCCTGCCATTAGACTTCATTACTTATTTTTTTTTTTCATTTTTAAATGAGTTCTAATCTGTTATGCATGACAGTAGAAAGTGCTTCAATTCATTGTACACAAATGGAGCAGAATTTTTTGCTTCTCTGGTTGTACATGTCTTAATTACTTCTTTAATAATGTTTTCTTCAAAGGCTATCACATTCTGAATTTCTTAGGGTTAGGCCTTCAACATTTGGGTGGGACACAATTCAGTTCATAAATGTTCACAATTCAGTTCACAGTTCAGCACCTGTTGAAGTCTCCCTGATTCAATATTGCATGAACCTGTGGTGCACACAATCATCTAATACATAATTCTGATGGTGATCTTTCCCTGCCTTAGTCTGTTTTTTGAGGAACAAGAAACACACAATTATGAATAATTTATAAAATATTCCAAACTATAAAATAGTGGAGATAGAGGATTCAGTAATAMAAATTTAAAAGCTGTTATTCAGATGTGGCTTCTTTCTCTTCTGCTCTCTCAGGATGCCTTTTCTGTGGCTAAATCTTCACATATTCTAATATTTTGTTCCTGCCTATTTTCTTTTCTTTTCCACTCTTGTTCTCCCTCTGAATGCTAATCTTCCTTCCTTTCTCTTTCCCCTTCTTCCCTCCTTCCCTTCCTTAAGACCCTTTTCCCTTCTCATCAGATTTCACCTCTGCAGGAGCTAATGAACCTGAATAACTTTCTGTTCTCCCATAGTGTGCCTCCTTTATCACCAGAATTGACCTGCTTTTGGGACATCTCTTTGGTGGATGTGTGGTTTAGAGGATGTGGGTGGGATTTGGTCCTTGCAAACAGGGGCACCCAGAAGAAGTCCATCCTATATGCCCAGGTTTCTTTTCTCAAGTAATATATAGGAAGTGAGTCCTCGTGTGGTCTTCCTCTGAGAATGTGCAAAAATTTTGGTCTTCCTCTGAGGATATCCCCAAATTTTGACTCAACCAGATAACGTCTTGTTAATATGTTCTGAGGACTGATATGTTCGGATTCAGCTTTATTATTCTGATGTCTCTTAATGTAGTGTTGACTTTTTGCTTTCTTCTTTTTAAGCTATCTTCTGTTGAATTGATAAAGTTTTCATTTTACTCTTTTATGTTTTAGAAAATGTAAAGTACATTCCTCTTCCTATAAGCACAGTTTAATTACATACATATATATGATAATTATATATAATGTATAACTTTTATGTATATATATGTATATCTGAGTATATATTATGCACGTGAGTTTCTCTTTTTTCCCTTCTTCCTTCCTTTTCTTTCAATTCTGGGGATCATACCCAGGGCCTTTCACATGTGGGGAAGTACACTGCCATTGAGCTGTAGTTCCAGGCTGGCCTTGAAGTTGTGATCTTCCTGCCTCAGCCTCCACAGTAGCTGGGAATACAGGGTGTCCCATGGCACCTGGCTCTGATTTTTCCTATGCCTCATATTAAATTTTGCTTTCCACAGTGTATTCTACTTCATTTCTCCTTGCATATTCCACTTCTTACTCTAGCTGATTTACTATCTTTAAAAGGATCTCAGTGGCTGGTTGGAGGAAACTACACACCAGCTAATGTAGGACAATTATTTCAGAGTTAACAAGTTACCTGAAAAGCTACAGCTCTAATGCACAGACAGGAAAAGCAATAAAAATGCAAGCCAAGCACACAATAATCAGAACATGAATTCACCACCTTCTTCCTCAGAGCCTTTGTCTCAGGTCTTCCCACTTCCCTGGAATGCTTCTCCCTGCTGGTCATGTGGATGGCTTTTGCTTGCTCTTGTCTCTGCTCCTAGGAAACATGGCACATGTTTAGTGCCATGTTATATTTCATAGAAAATAACCAACTACACCTTGAGTGTTCATCAACAGAGGAAGGGTGTATAAKCTAAACATGCCATGATGTGGTAAGGCAGTAGCAGAACTTACTGTGCTAACGTAATAAGACCTACAGGATTTAACACAGAGTTTATAGAGCAAGTTTCAGAAAGTTATGCACAAGGTATAATTTTGTATCAAGTAGAAAACTATAAATGAAATACTATATATTGACTGTTATTTCACATATGTGAGTATGCTTGTAAATTTATAGTCAAACCCCTGAGAGCTTTATCTGCAAATTGAAAGATAAATGGAGAGTTGGGGTGGTGAGTGCTGAAAGGGCCAGGATTTTAGGGGATGCAGAGGAAGTTTTGGTTCATGAGTAGTGTTTTATTACTTTTAATAATTCACATATTCATGAATTTTTCAAATACTAAAACTAACAAAAAAGTCATCAAAGCCATGATAAAGAGCTATCCATATTCTTGTCTATCTTTCTCATAATAAGGCAGGAGAGGGAGGAGAAAATGTTCAACTTCTTCAGAAGGTTTTTACTGATCACTGCATATGTAGGTGCTTCCCTGCCTCTGGGAGCACTTCATGTTCCTCTCAGGGTCCTAGTCTTTGATTTCATTAGAGATATGTGTATTTTTGTCTTTTCCAGCAGACTAGTGTTTTCTCCTTTCCTATGTATTCTTTTTTTCCACTTCCAGTACAACATCAATAAATGTTTATATATTAATTTTGAACTAAATTACAGAAGATGTAATCAACAGCACAAAATGACAACTGCTAACTTATTTTAAAACAAATATCCGTAAAATGGCATTTTAAAAGTGGCCCTGGTCTTCTTTGTGCTGCTGGGGATTGAACCCAGAGCTTCATGCCCTGTGCTCTATCACTGAGCTACACCTGAAATCCTAGAAGTGGTTCATTTTTTAATCCCCATTGAATCTAGAAGGTCTTTTTCCCTCTGACCATCTAAATTTCCTGCACCAGGGAACATGCAGTGAGTGGGGCTGGGTTGACTGACTGCTAAGGACTTGGTTGGTCTTCAGGGATCTATGTTGATGGTTMTGTCCACCAGGGGGCACTCCAGGCTGTAGGAGGAATGACTTTTGAGAATCCCAGAGAGTGCATAGGTAAAGAGAAGAGACCAGAGAAAGTGAGCCAGTCATCAGTAAAGGGCAGCCTGTGTTTGCATAAGTTCACCTCATGTCTTCAGGTCTGCCATTCTATGTAAATCCCCAGAAAGCTGGAGCCCATATGCTTATAAATCCATCATATGCATATCCTATTATTCTTTTAATTGAGTGAATTGTTGTTGGAAATATTTTCAATACAGAAGGTGATCTGTTGACTTCAAGAAATTGTTTTACTTCTTAATACTTATTGCATACTATCCAACAGTTTTTTCTTTTATCAGAATTTTAATATAATTGATTTCTTAAAAATCTCTGTCAAACTATGTAACTTGGGAAATGGGCTTATTATTTTTGTGATGCTTCAGTGTTTCACTTCATCCAGTTGCTTCTTCTCTAAAAAGTCATCCTCCTTTCTCACATAAAATTTCTTTGTAATCAACTGTTGTAAGAAAAATATACATACCCTTCATCTTCATTCACCTGAAATATCACCCCCTACCCTCTGCACTGTCCTCACACAATTCTGGAGCCACCACTGCTGTCTCCCTGGGCCACTGGGGGTGGAGCTCTCTGTTAGGGGCAGGACAGAGCTCAGATGTGACTGGTGCTCAGGGAGTCAGGTGGAACCTGTTGCCTGGGAGAACAAGCTTGTCTGGCCCAAGACCTGACACCTGCAGAGCAGGGAGAAGAGCCCAGCAGCCAGGCCAGCAGCCATGCAGAGGGGACTGGGGGCTCTGCTGGGGCTTCTGTGGGTGCAGCTTTGCTGTGAGTCAGGTTCCTCCCAGATGGGGCTAGGGGTGTCCTAGGGCTGACAGTGTGAGGGAGGGCAGGGAGAGCTGGCGCCAAGCCCCCTCCCTGTGCTCCATCCCAGGGTGTTTCCTGGAATATCCTGCAGGTTTGTGAACTGGTCATGGATTCCGCAGTGACACCAGCTGTGTTTGCTTTTCTCTTTCCAAGCAGGTGTGAGAGGGCAGCAGGTGGAGCAGAGTCCTTCAGCCCTGAGGCTCCAGGAGGGAACCAGCCCTACTCTGAGGTGCAATTTTTCCACTACCATGACCAGTGTGCAATGGTTTCAACAGAATCCTGGGGGCAGCCTCATCAATCTGTTTTACCTGACTCCGGGGAAAAAGCAGGAGGGAAGGTTAAAGGCAACAATGAATTATCAGGAGCGCTACAGCACACTGCACATCTCCACCTCTCAGCTGGAAGACTCAGGCACCTACTTCTGTGCAGGGAGACACAGTGCTCCCAGGAGACCTGCAGCCTGTCCTCAAACTGCAGCTGCACCTGCAGCCACAGCCTCTTCCTCTGGCAGGACTTGCACAACTGTCTGTACAGCTATGAGTGTCCTGATTCATGTCGTTATGCTGTTACCTCTGCTCACAGGAGACATCTCAGCACTTTCATCACTTGGGTTGGACCCTTTTTCTCCTAAAAAATTCATTTCCAAGGAAAAAGATTCTTTTATGGAATCACTGGAGGTTCTGAAAAGAATGTCAGTATCCAAGTACTTTTAAAACAGATTCCCTGGCACAATGTATAATTTGCATATAATTTATTCTGTTAAAAAAGCTTGTTAAAATATGGTTGTTCACAAGTAGAAAAGAAATGGTACAGTTTTCCTGTTGATTGCACATTGTTCCATTTTCTAGGAAAAAAGTGAGTGCATGTGGGATATATATTATGAAATAATCTGTTGTAGACATGTACTAAGTCTTCTCACCACCAAACCCAAAGTTTAAAAATGAATGTGGAGCAATTACAATGCAAATATAATTGCATCTCACTGTCTTTCATGTGACTGTGACAAGAAATATGACTAGAAGGTAGTGGGAACTTGAGATCAAGAGGAAGACAACCATTCAACTCCAGTGTCACTGGGAGTAGGACCAGCTTCCTATGCATGTGACCTGTGCAGTTCCACAGGGTCTGGCCCTCAGAAAGGGCCTGGAGCTTGATTTAACATTCTGCTATCTCTGTCTTGAAATTCACAAAAATTGTGTCTTTGAACTTGTGTTTTTGAAGTGAAGTCTTATAAGAGGCTGGAGCATGTCCATGAGCAGAGGAGATACATAGAGTTTTGGACAGGAGTGCATACAGTTCAGGCTCAAGGTCACAGTGCAAGCCCATGATCTAGCAGTTGTTTGACCCATTCTAAATGCAGGTGCATTCTTTTGGTGCTCTGTGTTACCTCCAAATGTTTGGAARTCACTGTTGAGTTTTACAAAATGAAAGGCTATTTGTGAACATTGCAATAAAGCATTTTGGAGAGTTGTTAGAATCTTTTGAAAAGTTCAGAAGCTTTCTAGCCACCTGTAACACCAGCAGCTGGAGGCTGAGACAGGAAGATCGTGAGTTCAAAGCCAGCCTCAGCAAAAGTGAGGCACTAAGCATACACACACACACACACACACACACACACACACACACACACAAGTGGGCTGGGGATGTGGCTCACTGATTGGGTGCCCATGAGCTCACTGACTGAGTACCCCTGAGTTTAATCTCTGGTACCAACCACCCCTCAAAAAGTTCAGAAGCTTTCTAACTATTCATTTGCAGAACAAATATTCAGAGACTCAGAAATAGGAATAAAATGTGAAGTTAACAGCCTGATGGAGAAGAGCAATATTTTCAAATGAATCAATTATTAGCATTCAGTGACAGAATGCTTAAGGAAGCATTCTGAATTATATACAAATTATGAAGCCATATTCCATTGATCAGACCTCCACAAATTACAGAAAATGTTGGAGGAAACATTAAAATGCTGCTGTATAAATTTACATTTAAAATTAAATTCAGACTCATATGAAACTATTTTTGTATGAGGAGTTAAATCATACAAAATGTGTTCCACAAAAAACATCATCCATAGATTTACTAAAATTTATATTTCAATCTAATTTATCAGATATTTTTGCTAATATTGTCATAGCATATAAAATACCTCTAAAAGCCCCTGTATTTCTATTGCATCACTTCTCCAAATTGGAAATTTATCAGAAATTCAGTTTGCAATCTTGCATTTACCAGGAGTACCTGACATCACTTGCAATTATAGTGCTTGATAATGAAGTTGCTAAAAGATTAAATTTTGAAAATCTAGTAAGTTAAATTGACTAAATGCAAGCCAGAAAAATTGTATGACTAAGCAAGATGTCATATTCCCAAGTAATTTAGTTATTTTTATATAAACTTATGACACTATTTTATTAAGCTTATTTTGTTACTTCTGTATCACTGTAAGTTCTATTTTCTTTTGTAATATCATATTTTATAAGGAAAGCTCTGCATTGTATCACTTAATGACACTTTTTCTTGGTTTGAAAAAGATATCCTAAATGTTCATTTTGTGCTGGGTCCCACGAATGTTATAGACAGCTCTGGTTGGGAATCTTGAACTCTGAACCACCACTTGAAAGGAGGGTGGTTGAAGCCAGAAAGCAATCAGGATGTTTGAGAAAGTGTCTTTTGCTTTGCGTATTAGTTATTCACTCATCTCTTCCTGGTTCCCCAATTTGCTTAAGTGTTTATGTGTGTTTCCTTCAAGAGTGATATGATACACTGGAGATATAAATATAAGAAATAGATCACAAAACAGCAGCCTGTTTATCCATGGGTCATTGAGGCAATCACCCCCATATCACTGCCTGTGATGATTTTTGTACTTAGGGTCCCATCTTATTCCATTTTACTGTGGATGTAGTCTCTCCTTCATCCATCAGCCAGCAGTTATGTTATAGGAAGAATGAAAACCCAGAGAGGAATTCATCTCTGCTTTGGAAGAAGCCCAAGGACTGGTTAGGGTAACCTCAGACACAGAAAGTCTCATGTGAACATGAAAATGATCTTGGAGTTCCATGATGCTGGACAACTTCTCTCCACTGTCATACCATTCCAAGTTTTAAATAACCAGTCCTCAAGAAACATTTCTTCTGTCATATTGTGCAAAGGAATTTCACAGCTAGAAGAATTCTTAGAAGTCCTTTAGTCCAATCTCAATTTACAAAGTAAGAAACTATATGCAATGTGACAGTATGATATGATCATCTAGCATAGGAATAGGAATAGAAGGAAACTGTATTTCCTCATTTGCTCCTTTGTACACTCTGTCTGCAGCCTCATTCCTGTAGGACCATGTTGCTGAACAGAGAGAAACTGCCTCGGAAATTCAGCTACTTGGAGCTCTGCAGTGTGTCTAGGAAATCCTTGGTCTAATCAGTTTGACAACCAGAATAGAGAGCTGTAATTTGTGAAAATGTCTGGTACTTTAGGCAGGAAATAAGCCACAGTTATTCTGCCAGAAAATCAGTTCACCATTCACTGGCTGCTGAACCAGTGAGACAAATAACAGGCCATCCTCAACACCCGGATCATCTCTAAGGCCTTTTCTAGAAGTGGCAATGTACATTATCCCAGATGGCCATTCCTGAAGAGAAGGATACCAACATCACCAGCATCACTCCACCATTGTCAGTAAAAATGTTCAGTGAAATGGAGATACTAAGGGAAACAATTTCCTCCCACAATTGGGTGTCTGTGCAGGTGTTTAAAAAATCTTTTTTTTTTTTTGAATGCCACAACTGAGAAGGGCATTGAAGTATCTGTATTGAAGAAAGAAGTTCACCCAGTGAAAAAGTTGAGAATATGGAAACTGAACAACAGAAAATAAGAATCTTAGAATGGAAAAATTTCATATATGTGAAAACATATATTTTATATGTACAAACATGGAATTCTTATATAGAGTTGAGGGATATCCTCACAGCTGTCCTCAAATATTTAAATGTGTATGATGTGACTGAGGGATTAGATTTAATCTGTATATTTCTGGGTACTAGTGAGTACCTACCACAGGGAAGGTGCCGTCACTTCTGGAAATGAGGTTGTATTTGTTTTGCAGAATGCACTTTTCATGGTTAGTCTTTGTGGTCAGTTTCCTTATTTATGCAATTTCTATAGCAGGCAGAGGCAATATTTAGGCTTCACTGGATTTGTTCTTACAGAAGCAATCAGAAAATATCAATAAGTTAAAGTAGGTGAAAAGGATTTGGGGCAGAGGGAGAGAATCCTTGAAATTTAGAGGACTGAAAGACTGGATGTTTTGTGGAAAAGACCATTGTAGCAGACCTTGAGAGAAAGCTCAGTGGTCAATATAAGAATTCATGCCTCACGGATTGGCTCATATTTTGGAGGACCACAGAAAATAAAAACACATATGTTTAAATTTTGAATCTGTAGCCTGTAGATTTTTGAGAATCTCAACTCTTTCTTTCAGGAGTTTGCAGAATACAAGCCACACAGCAATAGGAAAAGAGTTCTTAATTCATGTCAAATTTATCAAAATTATAAATCAACACACTCTGACAAACTCTTTCTAAACTTGGAGCACTAATAAATCAAGAAATTATTCCCCTGTTCTCTAATCTTTGAGATTCTATATGTACCTTTTTTAAAAATCAGAACTATCCTTGGTGAAGGAAGAAACCACAGTTGAATTATTGGTACTGTCCACTATCTGGTATTGGCAAGTTATGGGCAAAGCCAGGCTAGGAGGAACAGAGTTTGAGATAACATGCATTCTAAATATCCAGAGGTTCTCTCTTACTATAATCTTAATTTTTTTTGTGTGTGTGTGTGTTTGTGTGTATGTGTGTGAGCGTGCACGTGCATGCTGGGGACTGAACTCAAGGCCTTGTGCATGTAAGGCAAGCACTCTACCAACTGAGCTATATCCCCAACCCACTTACTATGATCTTTGACTTACATGTTCCTTTTAGGAAGAGTTTCCTCTGTGTCAGGCTAATCTTGAAGGTAGATTAGGCTGAAAATGCAGATATTTTAAAATATTTGTTTATGAGAGTGAAGCATGGTGCTACCTTGATTCCAAACATGTTACCTCAATTTATTTTTTAAAAATCACCAACAGCATCTACCTCTTTCCAATTTATTAATAATAACTCAGTAGTGTGCACAAATGTCAACCTTGATCTCTACATACTCACTGTGCATTTAATCTCTGATCTGAACCCTATTTTATTAGACCTATTGCTGCTTTTATGTTTCTAAGTCCATTTAATCAGACTTCAGTAGTTAGAGATGTGAACACAAGGTGGCAGTCTACCCCAGCTGATGCAAAATAGTTGGAGGGTAACTTTCAGTGGATTCTGAATAAAGAGGCTTAGAGCAGAAGCAGAGCCTTCTTCTTATTGGCTGGGTGGAGAAGAGGAGAATAATTGTTAGAGGAAAAAAGGGGCAACCTGATTGTAGAAGTGGGTCTTCTGGCTGGAGATCTCAAGCATATTATTGATTCTAACGGAAAGAACAATGAAGAAATGGATTCATCCATTACTCATATTCTTGTGGCTGCAGCTGTACTGTAAGTTGAGGGTTTTATAGACACAGAATTAATTAGTGGATGTTCTTTAAATGTCCATGGAGTAGACTAAATTAGAATGGATGAGAACATTTTGGTGGTTGATTGTTGCTTAATAGATTTCCCCACTATTTTATTTTTTACTGATAGTTAAGATATAGCATATGATGTTTTGATATTCAATATACATAGTTGTAATGCAATGTGGTTGAAGAAATGCTCAGGGAAAAGTCTGTGTATATTAGGGAATGTTCTTTAGATGTGCAAGGAGAAGCCCTGTTATGTTCAATTCTCCTCTAGTTGCTGTAGAAAACTGAAAATTGTGAAGAGTAATCACATGCTAACACCATCTTTTTTTCTTTTTCTTTCCCAGGGGTAAGCAGAGGAGAGAAGGTGGAGCAGAGTCCTTCTACCCTGAGTGTCCAGCAGGGAGACAGCGCTGTTATCAACTGTACTTATTCAGATAGTAGTTCAGAGTACTTCCCTTGGTATAAGCAAGAAGCTGGAAAAGGTCCCCAGTGTATTATAGACATTCGTTCAAATAAGGACATAAATCAAATCCAAAGACTCATTGTTGTGTTGGATAAGAAAGCCAAACACTTTTCCCTGAACATCACAGCTGCCCAATCTGGAGACTCAGCTGTCTACTTCTGTGCAGCTGATGCAGGATGCTTCCCAGACACCTGCAGCCTGTACTCAAACCTGCCACTGGGCTAAGCCCCACCTGCTTCTTTTGCCACAGACTTTTCAGGATAACATTTGCCAAATTGTTAGCAAGTGGAATCTAGCACTTCAACATTAAAACCATGTAATAAGAAGTTTAAGTTCAAGATGACATGAAATGGGTCAAAACATTTGGGTAGCTGATTGTGGCTTAATAGATGATTTTTGACTTTTCTTTCTTTCTTTTTTATTTTTGTGGTGCTGGGGATGAAACCTGGGACCTTGCACACACTAGGCAAGCCCTCTGCCATTGAGCTACATCCCTAGCACTCAAACTTTATTTTTTATTATAAATAGTTAATGATGTAGAATGTGATGTTTTGATATACATATACATAGAGAAATTGAATGGCCAGATGAAAAGACACATAGGGTGGTGGTGGGAGGCGGGATGAAGCTTCATGCCCTCTCTGGGAACCCCAGAATTTGGGAATCTTCACATGTTCAGAAATCTAATGCTGTACTTACTGAACTCTTAATGGGAATTAGTTAGTACTGTTTTCTCTTGAAATCCTCAGACTGTACAGAGGAGTTTACAATTGTTTTTCAGATTTCTCCTTTCAAACAACTCAAGTATCAATTTCAAGCATGGGCTTTTTACTCTTCAGAAAATTTCATTTGTTATTTTTTCTGATTATAAAATATTAGATGCCAAATGCAGAAAACATGTAAAATACAAAAGTATAAAGTGGTTATTCAGTACCCAATTTGTTGCTAATTGGTGAATGGATACAAAKAATTAGATATGTAGCATCAACAAAAACAASAAAAATGTCTAGATATCGMATATAMAATATAAGGACTATGGTTAATAAAATTATAGTGTCAAAATTGTAAACAGGCAATTTTAAGCTATTGTTTTTGTCAAAAGTCCAAAAAAGTAATTTACATAGATGATAGATATGTTAATTTGTTTCACTATATAATTAGTTTACTGTCTATGTGCTTCTTCTAACATCCTGTTATAAACCTCAAATATACACAACAAAATTTCTTCAAAAATAACACTTATTTCCATTTTTCTTTCTTAATGAAGCTCCATTGTGTTAAGCTAAATTTATTCTAAGGTACTTAGTTTTGATTACTACCTTATCTTTCTGGTGTATGTGAGGAAATTGTCATATGTCTTAATCCTTCACTTAACTCTCATTGGTGGATTGCAGAAGGAATTTGGACTGTAAGGTAATTTAAAGATAGCTTATGCAAATCTCTCTGCCAAATCTTTATGGTTCAACAGAATTAACATTACTGTCACCATTTTCTTCTTAAAAACTTATATCTTTTAATGTTGTAGATAAATTAATGAAAATGAAGTTGTGCAAACAATCACTCACCTGATTTTCCCTCCTCTGGCCCAGGGGGATCTTATTTGAAGAACTCTCATATTCTTCCTAAGGTGTATGTGAATGGTGGTTGGTGTGGTGAGAATTATTCCTCTTGTCTGAATTATTATGTTAGTTAGCTAATTGGCTGATTATTAGAGTAAATTATGTTTAAAACATCTGAACAGGAATAAATATTGCTCAATATTCAACTGGCTTTTCTTATTCTCCTCAATGTACCACTGGCTCCTGTCCTGGAGAAGCAAGGAATGGTCCATGCTTGATCCATTTCCCCCAAGTTTGGTATTGCAGTGACAGAGAAGAATGGCTTATATTTTATAGGCTAGTTTCATGGTTATAAGGGAGAGGTGTAATTATCATAGGCTCCAGTGCTATTTCTTAGTATGGAGACCATTTTTTTTTCAAAAAGGAAGAACACTATCCAGCCAGAGTGTGCAGGGTCATAACCCAGTTATCTCCATCCAGACACATTTAAGCCTTTGGCCCTCACTCCAAATTTTGGCACTCACAAAAAGGTATAGGTTTTTCATTTTGCCTCAGTAACAAACCTGACTGCATAAAACAACAAACATTATTTTTTCTCGAAGTCTGGAGTCCTGAAGTTGAAATCAGTTTCTCTGGGCTGGAATCAAGGTATCAGCAGGGCTGCTCCCACCTAGAGGTTATAGAGAGAATCTGCCCCTGGCCACTCCCAACTCTGATGGCTGCCAGCATTTCTGCGAAACTGGCTGCCTCTCTAGTCTTTGCCTCCACAGTCACCCTGGCATCTCTCTCCTGTTGTCCTTCTTTCAAGTGCACATGAGATGTGCACTTGAAAGTTTAAGGTTCATGTAATGCAAGTTACTCTTCCCATGTCAGGATCTTTAACCTAAAGATCCTGACACGGGAGGAGTAAAAGATAACAGGGATCCAGGGGGCAGGACCTGAGTTTTTTTCGTTGCTGTTATTTCACATTGCTCCTCCCCACCACAGTTGGTATGACTGGGGCTTTTCTTCTTTGTTGAGAAAATAATAAATGTATTAGGCAGAGTCTAATCAGAAGAGCAGACACCACATCCATTGTTTTTTAATTTTCTCAGCTTTTAAAATTTTATATAAAAATTATTATATAAAAATTAACACTTTTGATTGTACAGATCTGTGAGTTTTGAATTCTAGTACATTATACAGGTTTATGTAATGATTACATAATCATGATACAGAACATTTCATCACATAAAAAACTCTCCTGTGCTCATATTGGAATTGCACCTGGCCATTTCTAAGTCCTTTTAAACTTTAGTCTGTTTTTTCCCTATATTTATCTCTTTGGAAATATCATGTGAAGGAAAACACACAACATATAAGCACTTGAGAAGTCATAACTTACCTAGAGAAATCACATGCCATTGGGCACACCAGTGACCTCCATCTGCTCCCACCTTCAAGTTTTCCTATGACTGAATGTTTTAAAATTTTATGTCATTATGTTAAAACAGTCATCATTTTAAATGTTTAGATTTCCTTGAAGATTTGATTTCTAGTTCAGGATTTGATTTCTGTACAACATTTTGGCAATGGAGAGGTTCTTTTGAAGGTAATACCAAATCCTATAATCAGGTTGTCATGCTGCAAATGTAAACTTAACTGCACCAACTCTATCTTAAGTTTTTATCAGTGGATATTTTTCTAACAGTTAAAATCAAATTTTGTTGATCACAATTCATTTTATCTATCCTAACTGAGGATATTTTGTCAATGAGGACAATTGATATTACAGGACTATTTGTAGCATTATAATATTATAATATTCAGGATATTATATGGATATTTGTGACATTGAATGACACATCCAACAATTCTTTATGCTTGTTGCACGAGTGATGGATTTGAAGAACTGAATAATAGCATTAGTACGGTTATTGCCTCAAGTAAAGCCTACTCCTAAGCTCGTTTATTACACTAATAGAAGAAAAAAGTAGGATAAATTAGAAATATTTTATCAATTTTATAAATATTTTAACTTATACTATATTATTAGTGAGAAAGTTCTGCTAAAATGATAAAAACAAAAGACCGTGAAAAAGAATATGACCGCCAATACTCACAGACATGCTGTGTATTATATGCAAGGACACATTTGCTTTAGTGACCCTTGGTCAGTGCTCATCTTCTGTGGACAATGAGCTCCTGGAGACTCTCAAGAGAAACAGTTAAGATAGTTAATGTGAATAACAAAGATCCTGTAATTTTACTATGGATGTCCTAATAGTTGGTAAAATGCAACCAAAGATGAATTCCTTGTACTTTATCTGCTGAACTGGTAGTCAATAGACTCCAATAAAATCAGTTCTATAACATTCATAGGCAGTATTTCTCTGGTATTGCTTTATGAATACCAGGTCTTCTTGTTTAGGTCATTTAAAGGCTGATTAATATGAAAGGAAGGTAAGACAACCAGTTTGGCATGTTGATGAAAGAATGGAGTACCATGAGTTCATTTACGTAGCTCAGTTTGTACAAGAATGGGATATGTATAATTTGGGAATTACATGTACCTGCTGGTCACCAGTTCACAGTCAGAATTGCATGCAACTTTGTGAGGAGAAACAATGAAGACCCATGAAAACTAAGGGAAAAATGCATCACCAATGCCGGGTGGGTTAAAACGAGTCTGCTACAACAATTATTTTTAGTTTTAATGTCTCATTTTTTGGTTCCATATTTTCAGAGGATAGGGAGGTGATAAGAAAAAAGAAATTTCTCAGCAAGGGAAATACCTTACATACCTGTTTCAGAAAAATATGCTCCCTCTATATGGATAACTGAAGTGACACAAGAAGGAAAAATAATGTCACATTGATTTTTAGTCATTGTGAATGGCTGTTTGATAGGAGAGTGCTTCAATCCATGTCACCAATAAAAATAAGTGTTGTTATGATATATATCATGCAGTGACAGTTGTTGAGACAGTTGTTGAGAAAATAATAAATGTATTCCGCAGAGCCTAATCAGAAGAGCAGGTACCACACCCATTGTTTCATTTTATATGCAATTTATAAAATCCTTTGGAATATATTTAAATTAACAGTATTCCTGTTAAGACCGAATCTTTACACTTTTTATGGGCTTTTGTTGATCACAGGAAAGGCACTCCCTGCTATGCTAGAAAAGTTTTCCTGTAAGACTTCATTTATTTTTGCAGTCAATATGTCCCTGCTGTGATGGGTTGTCTCTGGGGACCTTAGCAACTGTTCACTGGAGATCATTTGACTCCTCCAGGAGACTTTTCTAGCTTTGGTCCTCATTGACCAAAGTAATCAGTCACTTGTAGTATTTCTTTGCACAATTGGGAATCAAGTTTTTGCATCCAAAAAGGACTTGTGGAGTTTTCAGTGGAACTTTCATCAGAAAGGTGTGTTTAATTGAGCATGATCATCTGCTCAAGCATCACCCCTTCCCCAATTTCTACAGTGTCTCTTATAGTGTGGGTCTTTGTCTTCATATAAAAAATGTCTTTGAGTAGCACAAATAATTAAGTATGTCAAGTATTTGGTTTCTATTTTCAGTAGAGACATATGAGATACCTAAGGTCAAAAAAGGTTAAAGAATTAAGAATCTTCATTGTCCCTATAGCATTTGGAAGTTTTGAATTTCATTGAAACATATTAA